TCTGAGAGCCATCTGTCGGCGTAAGGGCTTTGCTTCACTTTCTCCCCTCCCCCTGGATTATTTTTAAAAGATTAAGTTTCCTGTTTTTACTGCCCTGCCAGCCAGGCCCTGGGTCCATCCATCAACAGGTCATTAGGACCACGGGCATGACAGAATGGGCTGGCACGCTGCAGGCCCTCCCTCCTCCGTAATGAGGGATCAGTCACCTCTATACCCTGCACCAGCTGCTTGATCTGTAAACACCATTGCCTCCCTGCACAGGGGCTTGACCTCTCCCACAGGCAAAAGGCCTCTTAATGAAACAAGTAAATAGGCGATTCATCCTAGCTGCTGATAGCTGCTCACCCTCAGAGCTGCCTCATTCCAGGACAGGGGGGAAAAAAACCCAAAACAACAAAAAACCACACACACACACACACACACACACACACACACACCACTCTTTATGAGCTACTAATCTTCTCTTTTCCAGCAGAAAGGTGGGCCAGGCTGTCTTGTGCAAGAGGGAAGGGTTTGTACCACTGGGAACAAGGTCAGCTATGCCTCTGCAGACACTGTGATGAGAGATCAGTATATTAGGCTCATTCCTGGCTATTCCTGCCCAGACTCAGGCCACCCCTCCCCTCCCATCTGTGCACTAAATAGACCAGACCCCTCCTCACCTTCAGCTGCAGAGCAGGAGGGGCTGGGGCTAGGGTCTCCCAGCTCTCTCAACCCCATGGTGATGAGGTTCAGTCACTGAAACTATTAATCACAAAGGGCAGCCCTCCGGGCACCATGGCTACATAATGCAGAATCCTTTCATGACCCCCAAGATGGGGAGGTCAGAGACACTGGCCAGTGTCTAGCTAGAAGCTAGACCTGGACATTCGCCCAGCTGAGGGCTTCTACCACTCACAACCTGCTAGAGCCTGGATAACTTGAAGGGACTGGGGCACTTGCAGGGCCTGACCAACAAGGTCCAGGGATCCTAGGAGTTGTCTTCAGTTTGCTTTGTACTGTTCTGATAAACACCCTAACCGAAAGCAACTTAAGAAGAGTGTATTTGGGTTTATTTGGTTTACACATCTCAGTCACAGTCCATCATTGAGGGAAGCCAAGACAGGAACTCCAGCAGCGCAGGAACTGAAGCAGAGACCATAAAGGAAGACCATTAGCTGACTTACTCCCCATGGCTTACTCGGTCAGCTCTTTCGTACAGCCCAGATCACCTACCCAGGAGTAATGCTGCCCACAGTGTGCTGGACGGTACCATAGCAATCATTAATCAAGAAAATGCTAATCTAGCCTACAGGCCAGTCTGACAGAGGCCACGTTCTCAGTTAAAGTTCCCTCTTCCTACCTGACTCTTGCTTATGTCAAGCTGACAAGAAGCTAACCAGAGTTAGCAGGAGTCCAGGATGAAGGGAAGAGGAAGGGCAGAAATGTTCCAGGAGGCTGGCAAATCCCTACATAGGCGATAAGAGGGGGATTGCTGCCATCAGCAGTTTCCCTGGAGTAGGCATGTCTATCTGGGCATGTTCACGCCTCTTATCTGAAAAACCCGACTTTTCTCTATGACACAGATTTGAGTATCTGGCCTGGCTCTCCCTTCAGCAGGATCTACAGAGTGTCAAGGCCTCTCCAATACAAGTATGCAACCTTTAACCCATCGCCCAGCACAAGGCCCAGGAGCCCCAGTTTGAATAGCAGGGCCCTTCCTCCAACTCTTACCATCATCCCCTATGCAGGCAGAATGAGTTTTCCTATGTATTTATTTATTAATTTTTTTTTTTAAAATTTTGGAACACTTCCAGAGAAACCTGCAAGAAAAAAAAATGCAAAGAACCACTGCTTAGAACGGGATGACTTAAAGAGGGTGGGAGGGAATGGAATTGTTTACCTTGTTCCTTCACCACTACTTTATCACACAAACCAAGCGGCTAACACGATCTTTGGATACCCGAATTCCCACTGTCCCATCATGTAATATATGGACAGTCGTTTGCACTGGGTAGGCCCCCAAACCTGCCTTACAGAAGTGACTAGCTGACACACACACCCTGCTCCGAGACCACTCCTGATACACTACACGCCTGCCCACCTTTCGTCAAAGGGCAGCAAGGTAGGAACAGCAGTGCATGAAAGTGTCCCACAATGCCAATCACTGTCTTTCAACACTTCCCTGAAGCTCAAGCTTCAGGCACCACAGGAACTGCAAGTCTGTGGTACACACGTAGTGACCCCACCCAAATCCTTTCCCATCATTCTAGAATGAGGAACCTATCAGATAGCATAATGAAATTTTATTTTTTGTTTGTGGTGCCTGACCCAAAGTGTTGTGCAAGCTAGACAAATATTCTACCACTTATATCTCTGGCCTGGTTGTTTTTTGTTTAGGTTGTTTTTTCTATAGGATCTCATCACATAGCCCAGGCTGGCTTTGAACCCATGATCTTCCTGCTTCATCATCTTGATGGAATTACAAGCCTGCATCTTAACACTGGCTTCATTTAGTTATTTCTTATACTACTGCAGATAAACTCAGAACCTCAGGCACACATTCTACCAACAGTCTATACCCCAGCCAATCATTTTTAGTTTAGAACAATCATTTAAATACGGCAATAGCAAAACCCAAATAAAACATCTACAATCTCACTCACCCCTTAACCAGTGGTCTGGGTTTGTCTGCCCATAATCCTTTCAGCTCTCACCCTCTGACTAATCCAAACCCATGACAGGGTTTTATACCTGAGCCCCAAGCACTCCAGACTGTTGTGTTCCCGCCCCTTGTCAATATGACCTCCCTGTTCTTGCTAAGGGGTGGACTCCTGCTCTCCGCCTCTCTGAGTCTGGAGTGGACATGGCACTCAGTATAACCACTAGCAGAAATGACAGTGTATGGATTCCATAGCCCAGACATTGTGTCCTTGCAACTCCTGTTGACATCTTTGTGCTGCATCTGAGGGAAACCCAGGCTCAACCGCAAAATGATGAACAATAAAGACAAGCGAGTTGCCCACCTTCCAGCATCCCCCTTGAAACACACTGTAGGAGTTAGACCACCTCAGGTACCAGCTTCAACCCACACCCAAGCTACATGCAGCTAAGTGATCCCACATGGTACGGCTGGGCAAACCACCTTCTGATCAGGAATCACAAGAGAGTCAACCCAGAATCACAAGGGATTCACTTACACCATGAAGTTTTGTGACTGCTGTAACACAAACTATAAATCCATATCTAATGCAACTCTGTTTCTTGCTTTTTCCATTTAGAAGCTCGCTCCATGTTGTTATATAATTTTCACTGCCACTGTTGGTAACGAGCAAGCTCTTTTAATCCCTTCTCTATTGCAAGACACTTGGTGCCAGTTTTCCAGTGTTATGAACACAGCAAACGGTTTCACATAACAGTACCAGGAAAGAAGCGCAGTACAGGGAAAAGGTCAGATTTCTTTATGAAAATGTCCTACAATGACTGGTTTTGAGCTTATAAACACAGTAACTCCTAAACAATGTAGGTACAGAATTCAAAGGGAAAGATATCCTTGTGGCCTGATAAAAAGGCAGTTGTGCATCAACTCGGTTTTGCAGAACTATAGGAAAGGTGTTTTGTAACCAGGTCCTGTTTGCACCCACAGCTGCTGCCGAGGCTTCCTGAGGCCACGTGAATGCGGATGGAGCGCTTCCCCATAAAATACACACAGATGCCCAGGGTTTCCTCCCCACTGGTACCCAAGGCAGGCAGAGAGCAACATTTAGATATTTTTCAGCTAAACTAACAAAATACCAGCTCTGCTAGACTGTTGAAATGTGGCCAAATTAAAAGGGATGTGGTGATTCTAAAAAATGATCCAGGCTTACAGGAAAGGTGAGATTAGTCTTGCAGTGTTGGTAGCCTGTCTCACTCCACGACGACTTGGTCTTCCTTTATGAATCTACCCTCTGAAGGCAGCTTCCATTCTTGATTCCCAATTCTGCTCAGTCAGGGCAGAGTTTCAGCCCCTCTCCAGGCCCAGGGCCTACCACTCTATGATGCCCAGAGAGGAAGACCCTAGGCCTGTCTACCTTCTTCCAGATAGGAGCAAAGTGCCATAAGCATGCCAGCTCTCTGGCCTACCTCCACCCTGGTTTCATCACTGATTTGTCCAGACAACCAACTCCCAGGCTTACACCTACTGCCATTGGTAGATGGATTCACATAGTGCCACCTCTCCTATCACATCCCTGAAGCATATTTCAAGATTACTGTTAGGATAAAGCTCCTGGGGAACCTCGGTGGATTCCATGGCAGGTGAGGATGACCGAGGCGGGGGACAAACATGCCAGGCAGACAGAGCTTAAGTGAGAAGTTTTATTAGAAAGGGGAGGGAAGGGGGAAGGAAAGAGAAAAGAGGTAAAGAAACACAGAGAGGAGACAGAAGAGAAGAGGGAGACAGGAAAAGTCATGTCTTCCCTGGGGAACAGTGAGAAAGAAAGAGGGAAAAGAGCGTTAAGTGAGCAGGGTCCTTTGCGCCTGTGTGCAGACTAGGCAATCATGGAACCCTGGGCTGACCAGGGCACACTGCCTGAGTGCATTCTGCCAGGTGACAGGGGAAGGCCAGCATAATGCCTAAATCCTTACAATTACCATCTGTCAAGAATGACCAACTAGCCCAGCACTCAGGAGGTAGAGGCAGGCGATCTCGGAGTCTGAGGCCAGCCTGGTGTGTGTGTACAGCAAAGTTCAGGAGAGCCAGGGTTACACAGAGAAAACCCTGTCTTGAAATACAAAAACCAAACAAAAACAAACACACACACACAAATACCCATAACCAAATCAAACCAAACAAACCCAAAAGACCCCTAAACAAAAGACAAACTCAAGATCTTCTGGTAGAGAGGGAGGCAGAAAACAGGGTGGGGCATGCAGCCAGCAGCCCTCCCCTCCATGAATTCCCTCCCTCTTTATCAGTGACCTGCTGCATTCCAGAAAGCAGTGTTCATTGTAGTGAGCACAACAGAAAGTTCCTCCTCTCCACCAATAGGAAGGCAGCTAAATGTTGCCTGGGGCACTCATGCAAAAAAGGGAACTGCACGAAAGAGGCCACAAGTAAAATCATGTCCATTGCATTTACAGCGGGCAGCATTCTTCACAACCACCAAAGGGAGAAGAAATCACTGACGACGGACAGACGGACAAAACATGGCAGACACAGACAGTAGGATGTGATCCAGTCTTACAAAGAAAGAAAATTCTGACACATACCAGACTGGTAAAACCTTGAGGCCATTACACTAAATACAGTAAGATAGACACAAATGTACTTTGTTATTCCAACTGTAAGGGGTACCCAGAATACACAGACTCACAGAAATGGAAGGAAGGTAGACAGATGGCTGCCAGGACTGAGGAAGGAGGGAATGAGGAGTAGTTATTTAATGAGAAACAAATGAATCTAGAGCTTCAGGATGAAAGGATGGGAAAGCCAGCAAATTGGATGATGGTGATGGCTACTGTCAATGTACTTTACACCACTGTGTTCTTTAAAAAAAAAAAAAAATGTTACAAGAGAGGCAGGCCACTGTTGATCTCTGACTGCCACCCAATGCCCTCCTCCAGCTTCCTCTAAGATTTATTACCGCGGGCTGGAGAGATGGCTCAGCCGTTAAAGGCTAGGCTCACAACCAAAAATATAAGATTTATTACCGCATCTCCCCGGACATGAGATCCTGTTGCGCCCACACTAATTCAGCCCCAACTTGTTCAACCACAGTAAGTTAGAAGGTCTTTACCAAGGTGGAGGGACCCTGCCTGGGGTGGGATCGTCTAGCCAATTGGAAGCTATGTCCTTTATCCAGTTTTGTACAAGATTTTGTCTCAGTTTAAAAAAAAAAAATGATGCAAGGTTGCTGGAGCTGTGGTCACTCAGGTCAACAAGGCTGGATTCTTTACAGATACTAGGTCCTCATCTTGTTCCGTCCCCGCACACTCCACCCCATCAGGAATGGAGGTTGATCACAACTCCGTCCAACTAAGAGCCTGGATTGGGACACTGTGACCCAGCAGGAGCTGAGATCTGAGTGAGTCCATGGGGATGCCTATGTAAGAACTTTTTTTTTGGCCCCTGGTTTCCTGGTGGAGGTTTACTGGAGCTGGGCAGCTGTGCTGGGGGTCCTCCTGTTCCCATCTTGACTTTCACACTTGCTGCACTGCTCAGTGTGGCTGCTGTGGTGGACTAAAAAGGCAAGTCCCTCGTCCCTAGAAATCATTTGATACATATTCCAGCTTAGCTGTTCTCCTAGACTTTTAGCTATACGTTCTACCCTTGGTGATCAGACCTCCACATAAGTGCTACAGCATAATGTCCTCCTCCAATAAGTAAATAAATGAATGTAATTATTTAAAAAAAAAAAAAAAGGTTCAAGCCTATAACCTGAGTCCATGGAGAGACTAAAGGAAAGAGGGTGAAAAGCTCAGGGCCTGTCTGCCTGATTACTTTAGTTAGACACCATGGGGGGAAAGAAAAAAAGGAAAGGAAAAAGAACTGAGAAAATCCCTCCATGGTAGAGGGTAGAGGCTACCTACTATGTGCCAAACCCTAAATACAATCTTAAATACTGCCCCTCAGAAATATCCAAATGGCAAATTTCGTGTGATAAATGTTATCACAGTTTTACAAGAGGAATACCTAAGTAAATAAAGTTTTGTCTCATTTAACCCACTTCCAACACAGGCCTGGACGACACAGTCACAAACACCGGCCCAAGCCATTCTTTCCCCTGACATCTGCCAAAGACAACTGGTTGTTTCCAGGAACAACTCCATTATTTCTCTGCTCGGAGAGGAAGGTGTGCCAAATTCTCCGCCAGCCAACTCCACCTAAAAGACACACAGTGACACGTGGTGCCAATCCTCAGAGAACCAGCATCTCCAAACTCAACCACCTGTCACTACAGAGCATCTACAGAGTCAGAGAGCTGACCAAGAGACAGCTCAAGAAAGACAGCTCTTCCCTGACACAGGGGCTCACAAAAAAAAAAAAAAAAAAAAAAAAAAAAAATCCTGTGCTGGGAGAAGCAGAGCAGTGGCAGCTGAATACTGCGTCCTCGGAACTTAGGTGGGTAGGTTGATCTGGGCTAGGCTGTGTCTGCCTTTCTTTCTGTCTCTCTTTCATTCATCTTGAATTCACTAAGGGGCCCTCAAAAACAATATTTGACAGGAGGACTCTATTCCTAGAACAAAGAGATCTATGGAGAAGAAGAAGAAAAAAAAAAGAACACAAACCATTCTTGGCAATGGGTACTCTGGGCTTTTCCAACTCTGATGAGAAAAGGTAACTTGTTATCTACACTGGACCCACCAAAAAAAAAAAAAAAAAAATTCCAGCCAACTGATGGAACGGCCAACATCCCCCGCTGCTAGCTGTCATAACAGCAGCTATGACACCAATAAAATGAGAATAACAACTGTTACTGAGTGCTCTAGCTGTGCCAGCATCCTGGCTAAGTGCTTTTTAGCACACATCTCATGTAAACTTCACAGCATATCCCTGGGTGGAAAGATGATCTCTCGGACTTCAGTGTTGCTGATGAAGAAATTTGCTTGTTTTTGTTTTGTTTCTTTCTTTCTTTCTTTTTTTTTTTTTTTTTTTTTTTTGGGGTTTTTGGTTTTTTTCGACAGGGTTTCT